ATTTGTTGGTGAAGCAACTGCTTTTTCATGTCAAGTTGGTGCATGTAGTATAGCTTGTAATAACCGATATCCATATATATGTGTAAATAATCAGTATGGTCAAACTCAAGGTGTTTGCCTAGGAGTATCTACTCCAACACCGACTTTACCAGGTGGATCGACACGATGTGGATGTTCTTGTAATACATTAAGTGGATTTCATTCTTATGAAATGGTTACTGCAAATGGTTGTTCATCATGTCTTGCTGCTTGTCAATCTATTCAACTTCAATGTTATAATCATCAAAATACTTTTTGTATTTAATTAAAATATGATTTTTTAAATAAACATATAGAATCACCATACTTTTTTTTCGTAAGAGTTATTTAATGAAATATCGCTCATTAATATACATCCCAATCCATTTATTTCAAACTTATCGTACCAATTACAAACTATATTCTTCAATTTTTGCGTCATTAATATAAAGAGAAACTCTTTCTATCATTGCTTATGTCATTATCTGTTAGATCAATTCAAATATATTAAATTAACAAGATTTGTTATATAAAAACTAGAACAATTTGTACTTGTAAATATTTAAAAATAATTCAAATAGCAAATATTAAACTAACGTAAAGATATGAGAGTAAATACGAACATAATCAATATTATGATAAACTAATATTTCTATCGATATGCAAATTAGTCTTAAAAATCTGATTTATAATTAAAAAATAATATTAATAATCAGAAGAAAAAAAATTATTTAAAACCACTGTTTTTTTGCTTAATATTTGTACAAATAAAAGTATTTGTTATTTTTGTCATAATCATCCATTAATGTGTCATTTTTATAGAACATAGCATTGAAACATTTACTTCTACTTGAACTTGTAAATATTTTTTCATTATGTTTGCCTTGTCCCCCATAGTAACATCAACTTTTCTTTATCCATAATGTCGCATGGTCGAAAAACTGAGGTATGCGCATACAAAAAACATCTATAATATATAAATTAAAAATAAATTTTAGCAAGTTACTATTATTCGAGTAAATCGTAGGGGTGATATATTAAGTTATGATACTATCGAACAGCCAATTGAACCTGTTAAATCTTCATCAAAACATTATTCACGACCAAAAAAAGTAAAACAACCGGTCGTATATAAAGAGAATAGTTATTATAGTGAAGAAGATACATCTGATGTTAATGTACCAGTGAGAAAAACATATGAAAATACAATTAAAGAAGTAATTAGAATTTTAGTATAATAAAATTTTATTTTGAAAAACAAAATTTGTTGAAGACAAAACCAGAACGACGTCGTCTTTCTCCATTACAATCAGATCGTGAAGTATGGGATTATTTATTTTAATCAAGTAATAGAAACTCTTTTGTTCCATATAGATTGTTGAAGAAAGAATTATCTGGCAAGGAAAAGCTCGGACTGATTCTCATAATGAAAATACTACCGATCGACGTAAGAGTGGTCGAAAATCAATTGTAAGATAATTTTCATAAAATTTCTTAATAAAACTTTCGGTTTTTTTGTTTAAAGAGAGTTGCTGGTGATCCAAATGGATATGTACTAGTTGATAGTCCTGATAATTATAGTGAAGAGCATACAAGATCTCAAGAACGTGGAAGATCTTTACGAAATGAAAAACAAAATATTGTACGAAAATTTTTTTTGTTATTTTTCTATATTGTTCTTGTTTTTTTTATAGAATTCTACACGAAAACGAGGACCGATATCTGATGAAGTTTATAGTGATATTCAAAACTATGAATATGATGATCGTAGAATACAATACAAACCAGCAAGACTTCCCGTATGAGATGAAGGAGAGTTTCCTAATTTTCATTATATATAAACTCATTTTTAGCCAGTTCAAAATCGAACATTTGGATTGCAACAAAAATCACGAAGTAATTCAAGAAATGATGATTACACTAGACGTATTCGAAAATCACGATCCACATCTGTAATATGAAAATCAAATTTTCTTTTTTTGAAATATCAATACAATTTCTTTTTTTAAAGAATAATAGAAAAAGCTCTCGATATGATTATATAAAACCTAAAATTGATGATCGTAATGAAGAATATGTAAGAAATATAAAATATGAACCAAAACCAAGAGTAAGCTACTAGTTTTTGCTAGCCATAAAACTATATTCTCAATTTAGAATACCAGCAAGTTACCACGTTGGAGATCAGAACCAAAAATGGGTTCATTTAATGTTTCTTACGATACTAAGCCTACTTATAGACAACCAAGAGTAACCATCTTTCTCATTGTATTATATAATTACTATTGATTTTATTTAAAGAAATTTTCCGGTGATCCAAATGGATGGAGACTTGTTAATAACCGTAATAATTATGATGAAGATGATACAAGACATCAAGAACGTCGAAGATCTCTGCGAAATGAAAAACAAAATATCGTACGGAAATATTTCTTATTATTTTCTATATTGTTCTTTTATTTATAGAATTCTACACCAAAACGAAGAACAAAATCTGATCGAGTTTATAATGATAATCAGAAGTATGACGTTGATGATCGAAAAAAAACGATCCAAGCCAGCAAAACTTCCCGTATGAGATAAACAAGAATTTTCTAATTCTGATTATGTGCAAATTAATTTTTAGCCCATTCACCATCGAACATTTGGATGGCAACAAAAATCACAAAATAATGATTCTACTGGACGTATTCGAAAACATCGGCCAACATCTGTAGTATGAAACTCAAATTTTCTTTTTTTCGAATATCAATACAATTTCTTTTTAAAGAATGCAAGAAAAAACACTCAATATAATTCTATAAAACCTAAAATCGATAATCATAATGAAGAATTTGTAAAAAGTTTAAAGTATCAATCAAAACCAAGAGTAAGTATTATTTTCTGTTCTTATCTTGCCGAGTTATATGCTACCATTTTACTATTTCTGATATTCATAAATAGTTTTTGCTGATCATAAAATTACATATATATTTAATTTAGATCATAAATGATTTACCACTTTGGAAATATGAATCAAAAACGAAATCATATAATGATTCTTATAATCCGGAGCTCACACATCGAAAACCAAAAGTAATTATCTGTCTTATTGTATTATAGAATTAATCTTAATTTTTATTTAAACCAGATTTTTCGTGAAAAACTTGATTGGAATGCACGATCAAAAATTGATTCGGGTTTCGCAACCAATGCGTAATGATGTCTAGGTGATATGATATGCCTATTTTTTTATTTTTATCTTTACTTTTTCAACTATATCAATGATGGTTTGACAGATTGTTTGATATACAAGTATATTTATATATGACATTTTTGTCTTTTTCAATTTCTACTCTTTCTCTTTCATTGCTTCCTATTTGCATTGAATATATATATCAATACAAAGCGTGTAAAGACCATGAAATCTTTGCTGCTCTTTTACGATGATGTGTTGTTAAATGGTCTTTTACTTCTCTGTCAATAAAAAAAAAAGTGCATACAATTGATTTAATATATCGATATGATGATGATGAGAATAGAAGTAAAAAAACGGAGGAATTAATGGGATACATCAAGACCTTCGTCTATTTCAATGAACATTTAAAAAAGAAAATGAACAGAATAAAATAAAATGTTTAACAAAGTTTATACAAATATACGCCTATGATTTTTTTTTCTGATTAAATTAGAAAAAATAGTATCAAAAAAATAATACTGAAGAAAAATTGATGAAATGAAAATAGTTTAGAAGACGACGAATTGTATGGACTATGTCTTGAGAGAGCAATTATTGATCGAATAAAACTATTATAAGTACTTACGCGTGTATAAATTCCAGGCGCATTTGGCTTACCACTAGAGAAATAAAGTATGATTATCATGAAATCTTAATATTTTTATTGCATATCTTACCATGATTTGCCAAATGATGTTATACCTACAATTTCCCAACGATTGTTGGCATTTTCTATCATTATTGGTCCACCTAAAATATAAAATTTACAATAGAGAACTGTAATTGTTCTAATAAAACCTGAATCAGCTTGACATGTATCAGCACCACCACTAAGTTCTCCGGCACATATTTGTCCTGGTGCATAAGTAATATAAATATTACATGGCCATTTATTTACGTCAAGAATTGGTAGAACGACTTGTTTGAGTGTTGTCGATGGATTACCACCAAAATAAGTCGATCCCCAACCAATAGCAACACCAGATGCTTTTATAGGTGGATAATTTCTTCCTGGAACATCATCAGGTGGTAAACAAATTGTACCTATACGTGGATCATTATCAGGTAATGGTGCTAATAGTGTTATGATTGCAATATCATTCTCAAATGTATCAGGATCATATTGAGGATGAACATTAATTGCTATAACTGGTGCTGGATTTCGTTTATCAGTATTATAATGAGTACCAGCTATAATATTTAAATCTGAAGGTCCATCAAAATCTTCCATACAATGTGCAGCTGAAAGAACATGACGTTGTGTGATAAGAGTACCACCACATAAATGTATATTATTTAAAGAACGTTTTGTTAATGAAACCATCCATGGATATGAATGAGGTACAGCATCTTGTCCACCCATAATACGTGCAAATCGATTCGATATTTGACTTCTTCCACATGCCCAATTTGATAATTGATCTGCTTGATTAAATGGTAATGTATTTTTATAAAAATTGTTCGATGGTACATCTTGATTTGTCCAATACCATGAATAAGCTGACGGTTGATTGTTAGATGAATAATACCATTTTTGACTGTTGATATTTGTCATTTGTTGTTGTTGTTGTTGATAATAATTTGATGGTCCATTGAAAAAAGCTCGATATTCCTGAGGTTGAGATTTTGTAGCACCATTAACAATTGCTATATTTAACGTAAATTGTACCATGTAATATAGATTTAAAACATTGAACATGATCGCTATCATTCCTGAGGTTATTCCTCATCTTTTCACATAGGTATCAACCACATTTGTCAGCTGTTATTTCGTTCCGTGTGACACATATTGATGATGTGAAAAGAGAAAAAAAAAGAAAGAAAATCTATTTCAAGTTACAAGTCTTTTTTTTTTATTTTCTCTCTATTTGCCTACTTTTATCCTGTTCTTTAACTTTGTGACAGAAAGAAGAAAAAAAGAACGTTTTTTTTTCTGCATATTCTTTTTTTTGTACGTTCTACGTTCGTCAGGAATGAAGAAGCCTTTATATTAATTTGAGCATCGATGGTGTAAGAACATATGTGTGTACTTTGTGGTGACCGCAGTCAGATGAGTTTTTTCTGTGTCCTTGTTTTAGAATAAATTCTTCGTAAAGAAGAAGAAAAAAAACTGTTGCTTATGATATGAAATAGAGAAATTGTATTTATGAAGCGCTTCAACTGTTACATTCTGAGTTTCAAAAAAAAAAAAAGAAAAGAAATAATCTCTTTTTTTTGTCATAGTGAATTTATTGTATACATAATTAGAATGATGTAATATATATTCTCTTCAAGGAATAGATGATGGTGGAAAAAGCACTTAACTTAAGTGATGTGATTTTCGAAAAAAAAAATCACATAGTAGAGTGAATTATATGAAATCGATATTTTTTCATTGGGATTAAGAGAGAAGATCAAGACATTGTCCTTTTGATTTTTGTTTTTCATCAACTCATTTGGCTAAAGAAAAGCTTATGTTACTTTGAATAAATACTCAATGTTTTTTT